GGCAAATACAAACATTGGCAAAGTTTGCAAGATAAGGGTAAAAGGTAAGATCTATGGACTGGCAAAATGAGACAAGATGTGGAAGGCCAAAAATACAGTACGAATTCTGCAAATATACCCGAAAATGAACAGTCCTTGGAAAAGATCGTGAACTGATGGAAGATCCTACCATGGCAGCTGGGGAATTCAATTCATAAATCTGGACTAGAAAGCTAGTCTTTAAAGGTGATTGTGAAACTGTTGGATTGTTGTAAAAACCCATCTGGTTCACTAATCTCCTTCAGCAGAGGAAATGTGTTATCTTTACACAGTTTGCCCTCTAGGTGACTGCAGATTTAGAGTAATGTGACTCTGACGGCTGAGTAGATTGTCGGTCATTTCAGAGTTATAAAGCCACTACAGAACAAAGCACAGTGAGTGTCCACGAGGACCCTGGGGAAATATACCCTATCCATGCCCCTCGAGATTTAACAAACCTTTATAAGGTCACTCCTCAGCCCCCGATGCTCCAGAGAAAAATGTCCCAGTCTATTGAGCTTCTCCCTGTAGCTCAAAACCTCCAACCCTGGCAAACATCCTTGTAGATCTTTTCTGAACTCTTCCAAGTTTCATAATATCCTTCTTATAGCAGGAAGGCCAGAATTGCATACAATATTCCAAAAGTGGCCTAACCAATATCTTGTACAGCCGCAGCATGACCTCCCAACTCCCAGACTCAATGCACTGACCAATAAAAGCAAACATACCAAACACCTTCTTCACTATCCTGTCAACCTGGGACTTCACTTTCAAGGAAGAATGAACCTGCAGTCCAAGGTACCTTTGCTCAGAAACACTCCCCAGGACCTTCCCATTAAGTGTATAAGTTCTGTCCTGATTTGCCTTTCCAAAATGCAGTACCTCACAGTTATCTAAATTAAACTCCATCTACCACTCCTCAGCCCATTGGCCCATCTAATCAAGATCCTGTTGTACTCTGAGGTAGCCTACTTCGCAGTCCACTACACCTCCTTACTAACCATACCTCCTATGTTCACGTCCAAATCGTTTATATAAATGATGAAAAGTAGCAGACCCAGCGTCAATCCTTTTACACTGCTGGTCACAGGCCTTTAGTCTGAAAAGCAACCCTCCACCATCACCCTCTGTCTTCTACCTTCAAGCCAGTTCTGTATTTAAATGGCTAGTTCTCCCTGTATTCCATGTGATCTAACCTTGCTAACCAGTCTACCATGAGAAACTTTGTTGAATGTCTTACTGAAGTCTATATACATCATGTCCACCACTCCGCTCTGATCAGTCCTCTTTGTTACTTCATCAAAAACTCAATCAGGTTTGAGAGACAGGATTTCCCACACACAGACCAATGTTGAATATCCCTAATCAGTCCTTGCCTTTCCAAATACATGTAAATCCTGTCCCTCAGGATATTTTCACACACATCTCAGAGTCATACAGTACAGAAATAGACCCTTCGGTCCTACTCAGTCCATGCCAACCAGGTTTTCCAAACTAAACTAGCCCCATCTGCCTGCATTTGGCCCATATCCCTCTCACCCTTTCCTATTCATGTACTTGTCCAAACGTCTTTTAAATGTTGTAACTATACCTAAAAAGGTCCTTTTAAATCTTTTCCCTCTCGCCTTAAAGCTATGCCCTCTAGTTTTCCATTCCCCTACCCGATGAAAAAGACCTTTGCTATTCACCTCATCTATGTCCCCCTCTTGATTTTATAAACCTCTGTAAATCACCCCTCAACCTCCTATATCAAAATTGTTTGTTGGCAAAATTGTCCCAGCTCACCCAGTTAGGGATTTAGCCAGTCTCCCCAGGCCAATCCTGATCCATATCTCCATTGTCTTGCCCACAATCACTGCTTTAGCTTTACTACATAGGTTATTATAGACTGACTAAAACTAATTGTCATGACCACAAAGCACAAGATGAAAACATTTCTGTTCTTATCCCACACCTTCAAGTCCATTGCTACAACTTTGTTACAGACTCACTACCCTCAATTTCTGTCTTAAATGAGAAACCTTTGATCCGAGATTATGTCCTCTGATCCTAGGCTCTTCCACAAGGGGAAAACAACCCTCTGCACATTTTTCCAGTCAAGTTTCTCAGGAATCTTATAATGTTTCAATAAGGTCAGCTTTCATTCTTTTAAACTGCAATGACTGCACACCCAACCTACTATACATTTCCTCATAAGAAAATTCCTCCATACCCAGAATCAACCTCACCAAGAACCTTTCCTGGATTGTTTTCAATGTCAGTATGTCTTCCCTTATATAAGGGGACCAAAACTGCTCATACTGTTTAGGTGTGGTCTGTGTTGTGTCTTCCCTAGTTTTGGTAAGGTATCTATATTTATATTCCATTTCCTTATAAATAAAGGGAGCATTCCACTTGCCTTCACCATTGCGTACCGATCTTTTCGTGATTCATGCACTATTCCTTCTATGCTGCAGCTTCCTGCAGTCTTCCTCCATTTAAATGATACTCAACTCCTCTATTCTTCCTGCCAAAGTGCATTACCTTATATTTTCCCACATTGTATTCCAGCCAAGTTTTTGCCCATTTACTTAATGTTTTTTATCCTTTTGAAGACTGCGTCATCCTCTCCATTTGCCTCCCCACCTATTTTCATCTAGTCCACAAAACTAGCAATACATTCACTTCCATCATCCAGTTCATTAATATATATTGTAGGTGGCTGTGACCCCATCTTTGATCCCTGTGGTATTCCACCAGTTACAGGCTGCCATCTTGAAAATCCCACCTTTATTCCAAGAAAACGAGAGCGGGAGGGGGAGGGAGAAGTGAGTGGAACAGATTTGTTTTGGGCACCTACACAAGCACGAAAGTCACAAGCAGCTGACTTGTTTATGCTTTTTTTTTTAAACTGTTTTGTCCATTTTTTTTGAATTCAGTGATTCTAAAGGTTTTGAAATAACCCTTTACACAGCTGCTATCTCTTTGATCAATAAGTTCTCAATCAGCTTGCCAAGCTATACTGATATCAACAAATTTAGATAATCAGTTGGAGGTATTTGAAAATTAATTTTTAGAATTATAGTTTTAAACAATGTACATACAGCCCATCCCTGCCCAGCATTCCCCAATACAAATGTTATTTAAATTGACCTGTTTAAGTTTCTCTTAGAGCATAACAGCTTGCAAACTCCCTAATGTCATACACAAGCAACTGCTTTGGTACAACTAAACACATTTTACATAACACCAGAAGAAAAACACACTTTCAATCACCAACCTAGACTGAAATGTAACAGGTTTTTCACCAGAGAAAATGCAGTATACACTGCCAGTGTCAGAGAGGAGACAAGCTTCTCAATGCTAGACTCAATTTTCAGGTAATGAAATACGTTCCTACCCATTTTTGTAATGTATAGTTGCTTTCTCTTTGAGTTTGCTGACCACTTGATTTTGTTCGAAGGTCATATTCATCTGCTGAAATAAAATAATTATGAATAAATTTAAAACAACAATCCTTGGAAAAGAGCCACATATACTAAAAGTTTAATTCAAAAATCAGCCTATATTCATAAAATACAAATAACAGCAAAATGTTTTCAAAATATTCACCTTTCTTTCACGGAGCCTTTATTTTAGAAATTCCAACACATAATTAAATAAAACTAGCAAAACCATGCAATTTTTAGTACTTACAATTAATAAAGAATAAACAGTTATGTTGATTTCCTTAAATTGGAAATAACGGAAATTGGCAAAAGACCAGATTTGTTTTCTAAAGGTTCTCTTCTCTTTCATGTTTCTAAATGCAATAATACACATACAATAAAACTTGAAAAACTGTATATTATGAAGCTACTGTATTCCTAGGAAGATAAGAAATATTTTAATTTATCCTGTGGTACAGAAATAAAAATATTAGAAACATTTAGAGAATGTTTACAATATTTTGTGCCAGAAAAGAACTTTGGTTGTGTGTTGCTGGTGTCAACAAATCATCTTGCTTCAATACTTCAAGATTTGCGAACAAGTTTTTAAAAGGAAATAATTTCTCCTTGAATGATGGAAGCAGAATTTTCTAAGTTTTCCAAACAAGTATAATTTTATGCCTTCATCGATTGTCATTTAATTCACTTCGAGAACCAAAAAGTATGAACATCAATGCAATCCAAATAATTTTTGCAGACTCATTTGAAACAGTGATGACTTAAATTTTCACTGTTATTAGCAATGACTTTGGTAGCTTTGTTTTGAATAAAAGATTTCTAAGGCCACTGGTGAATTTAATGATATGAGGGGGAAGGAATGATGTTGTGATAAATGTCAACAGACAGATAATCCAATGCCCAGGCTAGTGCTCTAGGGACATGGGTTCTGTGATAACGCCTACAAGTTCCATGGGGAATCACGAATTAATCTCCTTGTGGAACTTAAGTAGGCGTTCCCTTGGTAACAGGCCTGTTGGAACTCCTCACCTGAGCCCTTTGGAAAGCAGACCCTTCATTTGCCACACAGGTGATTACCAATGGTAGTTAAAGGAAAAATAAAACGAAAGGATGATTTGGTGATTGGAAACTCACTCTGTTATGTGTGGTAAGATTTCGAGGTATTGAAAAAAAAGGAGTAAATCAGACCCAAGCCTCTTGTTTCTATGGTGAAGTGGTTATCCAATTCATTTTCCACATGAAAGGGCCCTGGTTCAAAACAATGCAGAAACATTTGCATGAAATGCTGGTGGCAAACAGTGTTTCCTCATTAGTGTCTTGTAGGCATGGCCAAGTGGTTTAGGCAATGGATCTGAAATCCATTTGGGTTTCCCAGCACAGCATCAGGTCCTGCCAACTACATTTTTCATCTGTGATTTTATGGTCACTCGAGGTCAGTGGTAATATCCCTACCTCTGAACCAGGAGATCTGGGCTCAAGTCCCACCTGCTCAGAGATGGGAAAGAAAAACCTTGAACTGGTGATTAAAAATAAAATAAAATCAAGCCGACCCTATAGGGCTTTTGTGGGCACAGTAGTAGTGTCCCCACCTCTGAGCCAAGAAGCCTGGATTCAAGTCGCAAACCATAGACATGTGCCATAACATGTCTGAAGAGATTGATGCAAAATGAAATAAAGCAGACCCAAGGGCTCTTGTGGCACAGTGATGGTGTCCCCACCGCTGTGCCAGGAGGTCTGTGTTCTATAGTCCCAACTCCTCCAGAGGGGTGTCATAACATCCCTGAACAGGCTGATGATAGATAGATAAGACAGACTGATAAAGTGGACGCAGCAGAAAAATAAATAAAGCAGACCCGATTGATTTCATCCCTTCCTGCTCTTCCTACCCTGCCCTCCCACCATTCCCCCTCACTTCTGATGACTTGTGTCGCCCATAATTGGCTTGCATGCAAACTTCTAATTGTCTACACAGGTGAAGTGATGGTAGTTCATCATTAAAAATTTAAAAAACGTCATGGTGATTTGGTGGTGGGGAAAATCATTCAAGTCTCAACTGCTCCAGAGGTGAGTAACAGCATGTCCGAACGGATTGATTAAAAATATCTATAAAGTAGACTGGCATTGCCAATAACAGGCTTTGCATGTAAAAATCTAATTGATGGCTTCTGTGTTTTACTGTTGGCGGTTGATTAAAAAAAAGTAGTCACAGTGATTTTGAGAAAACAATAAAGCAGTCACACTTTATAATCGGCTACATGGGTGATTTACTGGTGATGGTTAACAGTAAAATATAAAAAAAGTATCACGGTGATTTGGAGTTGGGAAAGCCATTCAACTGTGTGTGATAACACTTCCAGATATAAAAATAAAATTAAAAAAAAACAAACAGACTGTTGGGGATGGCGGGGTGGGGGTGTGTGCGTGTGCGTGTGCGTGGGATAGTGGCATCATGATAACGTTAAGGGCTAGTAATCCATCGGCCCTCACAAGCACTAAATAAAACAGACCCACGCCTCTTCCCATTCTCCCTTTTGATGGCTTGCAATGCCCACAACAGGCTTTGCATGTAAATATCCAGGTAGCTGCATGGTTTTTTTCAAACTGGTGGCAGTTAATAGTTAAAAAGGAAAATAAAAAGTCACAGTTACTTGGTCACCATGGAAGACATACAGCCTTCTACCACTACCCTTTGTGTCCTCTCACTAAGTCAATTTTTGATCCATCTCACCAAGTTTCCCTCAATTCCATGTGTTTTAACCTTCTCAAGCAGTCTCCCATGTGGGACTTGACTTTGTTAAAAGCTTTGCTTAAATCCATATAAACTACATCAACTGAACTTCCCTCATCTACACATTTGATCACATTTTTGAAAAATTCTTACAAATTTGTTAGGCATGACCTCCCTCTGACAAAGCCATGCTGACTAACCCTAATTAACACATGCCTTTCCAAGTGGGTATTAATTTGCTCCTTCAGAATTTTCTCCAATAGTTTCCAGATCACTGATTTTGGTGGTAGGCACTTCGCTCGGTTGTGCGCGATAACCCAGGATAGGTCCGCGTCCCGCAGGGACCATTCCCTCTGGGACACCCTAGTCCACTCTTCCTTCACCCCCAGCCCACTGCCCCCCCACCGCCCAGCCCCCGTAGGCCCACAGCACCTTCCTCTGCAAGCAGTGAAGGTGCAACACCTGCCCATTTACCGCCTCCCTTCCCCAGTATCCAAGGGCCCAAGCAACACTTCACCTGCACTTCCCAGAATCTAGTATACTGCATTTGCTGCTTACAATGTGGTCTCCTCTACATTGGGAAACAAGGCGTAGACTGGGTGACCGCTTCGCAGAACATCTACGTTCTGCTCACAAAAAAGACCCTGAACTACCTGTTGCCTGCCACTTTAACACATCACCCTGTTCCCATGCCAATATCTCCGTCTCTGGCTTGCTGCCGTGTTCCAGCGGAGCTCAAGGCAAGTTGGAAGAACAACACCTCAATTTCCGCTTGGGGACGCTGCAGCCCTCCAGATTCAATATCGAGTTCAATAATTTTAGGGTCCAAACTCTCCCATGTCCTAGCCCCCTACCCCACACACCAGGACTTGTTATCACATAAGCTGCCATTACACACCACCTATTATGAGTCACAATTAACAACTACTCACCCTCCAAGCCAGATCACTATCAACTCCTTTGTCTATTCAACTGCTCTTCTCTCTCTTCAGGCTCTATCCTATCGTTTACTCCCTACCACATCCCCCTCCCTATTTTTCGCATATAAACCAAAATTTTCCTAGCTACCTGGGAACCCTGCAGCCCAATGGTATCAATGTGGATTTCACAAGCTTCAAAATCTCCCCTCCCCCTACCGCATCCCAAAACCAGTCCAGCTCGTCCCTGCCTCCCTAACCTGTTCTTCCTCCCACCTATCCCCTCCTCCCACCTCAAGCCGCACCTCCACCTCCTACCGACTAACCTCATCCCGCCCCCTTGACCTGTCCGTCCTCCCTGGACTGACCTATTCCCTCCCTAACTCCCCACCTACACTCACCTTTACTGGCCCCATCCCCGCCTCTTCGACCTGTTTGTTTCCTCTCCACCTATCCTCTCCTCTGTCCATCTTCTATCCACCTCCCACTCTCTCCCTATTTATTTCAGAACCCCCTTCCCCTCCCCCTTTTCTGATGAAGGGTCTAGGCCCAAAACGTCAGCCTCTCTGCTCCTGTGATGCTGCTTGGCCTGCTGTGTTCATCCAGCCCTGCACTCTATAAAATAAAGTGTAGTGTTTAACAACTAAGGATACCCCTTTCCAGTCAGGCTTCCTGAGTTATTGCAGGTGCAAATCCCATTATGAACTTCTGAATTCATTTAAAAAGTACGAATTAATTAAAAAATGTGTTCAAAAAAAATCATCTCATTCATGGTTACTCTGGAACCATTGTCAATTGTTATTAAAAACGCATCTGGTTCGTTAATTTTCTTCTCTGCCATCCTTAGCTGTTCAGACCTATATACAATTCCAGCATACAAGCAACGCAATGTGACTGACTCCTAAATGCCATCTGAAATGCCAAGCAAGCTACACAATTATATCAATTACAAAGACTAAAAAGAAGGGATGAAACTGTCATACCACTCAACATCGATTGAGACATCAAAAACAACAACATCAAACCCAATCGTGTTGACTTTGCAAAACTGTCCTTAATAACATCTGGTGAGTTGTGCTAAAATTTGGGGAGCTGACCCATAGACTAGCCAAGCAACAGCCTGACATCGTCACACTTGTTAAATCATACCCTAATGTTGTGATCCTGCTTGATCTTATTATCCAACAACTCAGATTCGAAACTAAAATCTGCCTTTACAGGTCATATTCTGTCTCTTTTGGTTTTCACCAGGTGGTCTCTCAGAGACAGAAATACACAATGTTGCAAATTTTACTACCGATAAAATAGAAACTTATTATGCATAAAGAAAGGTAAATTGGAATATATTTACGTATAACACGAATGCAGAGTTTTAAACATACA